ACAAGACAAATAAATAAATAAATAAAAGCTCTTATTTTACTCTAGTAGTATATAATCTAGTACCATAAAAGTATTCCTGTCTGCAAAATGCGTTTTTTAGCTGAATAAGAATAATATTTTAAGATTCAAATAACGTTTCTTATCGTAAAATAATAACGAGTTTATCCTTTTATTTTAACTTTTATTATTTATTTTATGGTTCGTATCATACAATATACATTCGTATATGACATTTATGAAGACCGTAAATGTTGTGAAGTTGCTCGTAACGCGCTGTACCACACATAAATGATCGGAATATTAGGTGTTCGACACACAGAGAAATGCGACACCACTGTGAATCGTCGCTATTCGCGGTACTAAAGTCGAAAACTTTGTATTTCTAATTTATAAGACTCAAGATTTATAATTAATTTTATTAAAAAAATCAATCAAATTATGCACACATCTTTGACCTGGTATTTTTCATAAACCCTGTTGATTTTTTTCTTATAATTGTTCCATATATTGTATGCTTATATAGCAGGACATGGATATACTATTTAACTGATGTAATAACTTAATTTGACCTATGATCTACAATAAAGACATTTTTATTTGTATTTGTATAAATATTTACATTCTGGAGAATATTGTAGAAAACTTAAACTATAATTTGTATCTATACATACACATATACATATGTATGTATTTAATCTTGTTTGGTTGTATACGCAACTATATATATATTGGTGTTTGTTTATTTTAATGTTTATGCTGAAAATTAAATAAAAATGTCTGAATAATAATATTTTAGATTTTTAAGCTATATAATTAAATATCTACGTAGTGTTTGAAAATCCTTAAATTTTTGGACATGATAGCACAACATTAGCTGCGGATCCGCAGCATAGTGCAATAGCGTACCACTCTTTCCGCTTCGTGTGATAAGCACCTTATTTTATAACTTTTTAATTTTAAAATAATCAGGTAGAAGTGACCCTGATGTATTTTCAACCGAATTCATAAAATAATGTGATTCTCAATTCGGTTGTTTTTTGTTTTATATTTGTTACCTTATAACTTCGTCAGTTGTAAAACGATTTGTATTTTTTTTTATCTGGAAGGATACGCTTACTGATTAGTTGAATAGAAATATTATCCAAATCGGTTTATTAGTTTTCTTTTGTGAATAAAATTGATTTTTTTACTCGTATGATAATTATAATATATCTTTTGAATATAATGTGAATATAGAATAATAATTTACGCTATTTAAATATATATTTTCGAATAATTACTCTGTGAAAATAGTATATTTATTATGTAATTGTCCATAAATATTGATACCTACCTCAATAAAATTTCAATCAAGTTATAAGTATCAGCTAACGAGACCATAAATATTTTTTGCCATAAATTACAATGGCTATATAAAACATTATATGTATACAGATAACCGTTAACTAATTATACTGAGGGCAGGAAGCTAATAGAAAATTTTACAGCAAGAAGAATTGCCCGTGAAGGTACAAGTATTCCCAGCATACAGCGCCTGATCGTCAAGATTTATAATCGTTTATATTGATAAATGGTCAGAAGTGTACGTATAAATAAACTACCTACTGAGCCGAGATATCTCATCGATATACAATTACGAATGCATTTTATTAGATATACAAACGATTTATTGTATATATTCATGTACTATGTATTTTCAACTGATTTTAAAAAAGGAAGGAAATTTAATGTTGCATTTTTTTAAACTCTTTTTTTTTGTTTTGGCCAGTGTTAGAGTCCTATACTAATTTGGACAAGATTAAAATTCGTTGACTTCCATGCCGTTTTTTTGGAAACCTTTGTGATATCAATCGCCAAGTGAATTCGTCATAATGGATCATCTGATGGATGAATGACCAGACTTGAATCGTAATCTAATCGTAAAAGCACAGATCGCGTAATCTTTTCATTTAATATATATGATATCAGTTGTACTTTCTACTCCTGAACATAGATTTTTGGCAGTTTTAGTAATTGGTACGGTTGGTAAGCGGGTTTGCAACCGTAATTAGAGTTTGGTGATGTTTTAAGAAGAATGCTGCTGCCCATCCTCTACCTCTTCCCTTTGTCGCCTCTTACCACACTCACGGGAATGGAATGTGTGGCCTGTTATATATATATATATATATATATATATATATATATATATATATATATATATATATATATATATATATATATATATATATATATATATATATATATATATCCTTCTCCATTCTAAATATTTCCCGTATAAATACCTAATTTCATAACAATAGGTTAACACTCGAACCGTGAACCCGTCATTGTAACCGGTGTTTTAAATTCGTTATTTAATATTTTCGAAATTTGTTTTCGCAGTTCTAGGTATACAAACCGCAAAGTGACAATTATATCATCATGTATATACGCATCATGCAGTAAAAAGTGGTAAGTGGTAACAACAAATTTCGGAGATACTAAGTAATGAATGTAAAACATTGATCACAATGACCGGTCCGCGGTTCGAGTGTTAAGCCATTAAAACTCAAAGAGGTAATAAACAAACATACTCACTTTCACATTTATAATATTGGTAAGGATTATTATAATACTTTTATCCCCTGTACGATTCAGTGGTAATATTACATAAGATGCAATACAATCAATCATTTTAATGGGATGCTAACCCCATACCATGGGTATGTATAAATGCGCTTCTAATGTATAGCGATCCTTAACAGCGATGTATTGCCAATATTTATCTAGTCGACTTTATTGTCTTATACTTCACAGTATTTCACATTTGAAATTGAACTCTACGTAACAGGCATTAAGTATAATTTACAGTGAATAATATAAGTGTTTTATATAAGAATATCCGTGTGTAAACACGTCATAATTAATTTTGTCGGTCGGAGTATATTTTCCGATCGAAACCGCGACCTTATGGTTTTTTTATTTTATGATACAACACTCGATTTTGATTTGTATACTTTCCAATTTTGATCCTTCATATTAATTTTGTTTGCATAGAACTTTTGTAAAATTATATTTATTACGAAAATCATATGAAACTTCATCGGCTATGTTTCGTACCATTAAATAATAAATGCCGCACAATTACACCAATCAGTTGGTCCTCTACTTAGGACATCCTGTGTTATAAGGATTCAGTAACAAATATCTGAGCGCAAACCCCAACTAGTAAAAGTTAATTAAAAAAAATTCGTTTCCTAAATTAGACCGTCCAGGTATCGAACCTGAGACTTATGTAAAGCACCGTGTCAATCACTGCGCTATAAAGATCATCAAATTACTTGAATAAATTAAAATATTTTTAATACTTGTTACAATATAAAATTTCAATAATAATTCCCATTTAATTTAATCTCAGGTATATTAGATTTCTAACTCTTAAAGTTTCATTTTAGTTGACATCATAAAATGTACATACTTACTATTTATACTTTGCTGTGTTCACTGCAACCAGTTTCCATTCCAATGAGATGAGTCAGTCACTTGTAGAATATTTTTTTCTTTAGAATGATAGTATAAATTCTGAGGTGTAAAAGGAGCATTTTTTTTTTATATGCAAGAACGGCTGATGTAAATGGTCTAAGTGTACCATAGATGTCTCAGAATACAGTATGACGCTTATAGTGCTCATTATTTGTTACCGATAAACATTACCACTCTTAAAAATTAAGGTTTGAAATTTCCGTACCCTAAATTTTATAACCATATTACTCTTTTAAACTAAAATGCTACCACATAGAGGCAGAATAATGAATGGGACAGAGGCACCCAAACAGATAATTATACAAAATTTCGCTAGTAAATAATACAAGGTTTTTATAGTTTTGGATTTATTTATTTAGAATCCATGCTTGTAAACAGATTTGTAAACTTACAAGTAAGGTCTGATTAAAAAAATATAAATATGGCTACAAAATGTTATTGCAGTATGGCTAAATTATAAATAAAGGAAATCGTGGAAATATACAGCTTACTGTGTATTTGAATAATCTATTATAAACACGAAACTGTCTACCTGAGCATTTAAAACATAATTCAATTAAAATAAATTACTTTCGTATAACATTAAAATTTAATAAAGAATTAATTATTGAATATACAATAATCGTCAAAAGAAATATGTTCTATCTACAATATACAAGTAAGTAACAAACATTTATCTATATACATTTAATAGTTCGGACTAGTTCACGATTGTATTGTAGTCATAAAAGAGTCGCAAGGGATTTAATTACATAATTTACACATAGGAACACTGTTAGCAGTCGGAAGTGTTCCATTTTTAAAATTTACACACTACGGCCTGATAATTTTGCAAATACCGCCAATTACACTCAACTAATTAAATCATAATTAATCTTTTTGTTAAAAAAATAAAATAAAAATATTAATCTTTGTTTCATTAGTTTAAAGGATATTTCGCTATACTTTGTTTTTATCCGGTTTAGATGATCTTAAATGACAATGACAGAACATAAAAATTAAAAGTTTGCATTTTTTATTTCATGTAATTCAATAAAATTTCAAAATAAAATATACATAATTATATAAGAATGTCATATAGGTATTTGCATTTTTTTATAGTATATACTGTGTTACACTTCAATTTATTTATAAGTAAGTTAAAGAGAAGTTGAGAATTCTAGATTTTATAATTCAAGTCAGCCATAAGTGCGTATGTTGTAAAAATCTGATCTTTATAACACTGCTTTGCTCATATTAGATTCTATATCCAATCTCTGGTTATTTTACCTCATCTTTTGAATATGAAAAAAACTAATGCAACAACTTGCTATGGTAGCGATTTTTTTGTGTTATATTAAAAGAAAAACTCTCTTAATCCAGTTTGGACTATCTGTGTTAAATTTAAAAAAAAAGTTAAGAAATATTATCAAAATTTAAATTATAAGAGAAAAGAATATACATCGCTAAGCTTACACGGAAGATCTGAGCGAAATTCAAAATTTCACACTCAAAGTGCCTACACTAACTGTACATGCGGCATACCGCATAAAGCTCTCTTAAAAAATTACAAAAAAGTGTCAACATATAATAATTAACCTATCTATTATATTATTTACAATTATTGCTATCGAATGTTGCGCTTACAACGCTCCAGTTCACTATTCAACTGGCTTATTGCCATCACTACAAAGAAATACAGCATCACTTAAATTATAATCTGTTAAAAATATTATAGAAAATTAATGGAAATGACAAAGACATGTATGTATACCTATGTCGCAGACAAGTGTGAATATTAGAGATTTCGTGAAATACCTAAGGATACCATGAAATCATGGAAGAAGTGGAATATTTTAATCTATTACGTATTGTTGCTAAAAACATGATACAAATAACAAAATACTATAATAAGTTCAGTGATAGGTGGTTTCGCCAAACTAAATCTAAAAATAAAATAGGAAAGATAATCCTGAAGTATCTTCGAGTATTTTACGAAATTTCTAGTATTTTTATTTCCCTGCGACATATATAATACTATATAAGGATTGAAATTGAAAAGACAAAATCTCATAAACCTATAACACAAACTAAAGCTATTAGTGTCGCACTCAATGATATGAATATTTTATCAACGGAATGATAATAAAGTACACTTTTCATTTTGAAATCGTATAAAGAAATGGTAAATACTTGTCTTTTTTCTTTTATAGACATAATTATTGCTGTCTTCTATTTTACAACTGTCAGTTTATAATAGAAAAATAAAAGTTGAAATATTTTATATGATAATAGAAAATAATACAGAATTTCAGAAAAAAAAAATTCCTAGACTTGCTCATAAATGTTTAATAGAATTCGAAATTCTATGAAATAATTCTAACTTCACCCACACCAATAAAAATGGATGCCGCCCGTATGCAAAGACGTTATTAATTCTTATTTCAAGTAAAAATAAAAAAATTGGTCAGACAAAATACTCAGTCTTTGATACAAAAGAAGTCTTTTCAATATGGATATACGATATTCCATTACTATTGTCATTGCAATATCATGTTATTATAGACATAGTTTTCGCACTAAACAGTTGGTCTCCCCGCTACTTGTCCTATTCGCATTCGGGCGGCACGACAGTTTCGGTAATGGCGGGGGGTGCGGGCGGCAGCGCGGCCTGCGCACGCGCCCGCGCCAACGCCTACGCAAGCGCTGGCGCGGCAGGCCGCGCTCAGGGTCGGTGTGGATGTGCTGAACTTAATGATGAACTACTCACTCCAGAATCGCTGCTCTTCTCTGAGGCACAAGGCTCGCCACCGGCTACAAACTTCACAACATTAAGCCTATGATCTGACTCACAAGTGTCATCTCTAGCACCACCCGGCAATCCTCCAGTACGAGCAATCGTTCTCTCTCCGACGGACCCAGGATAACGTTCAATTCTGTCGCATTCCGCATCGTCTGGCTGACGTCGGCGAACAGACCGTTTCGCCTGAGGAGCTGGTTCAGGAGGTCTGTGAGTAGGTTCATCAGCTCTGTGAACTAATGGTGAGGTTCGAACACGAACACCACCAACACCAACGCTCGCCTCATAGCAGCCTGAATCTCGAGGAAACTGTCGCCTACCAAATGGGGAGTCACCTCCTGAACTAGATCCACCTCCATCGGCTTCTCCATTCCCTTCACCACCTATGTTAGACAATTTAAACTTTAATTATAACTTAATAAATAACCATTTAGTCTATACATGTTTTAATAGGCCCTTTATTTATAATATGAAACTAAACTCACATTCGAGCTGATGCAACAGTTGGACGGCAGCCAGGATGCGAGTGCGATGTTCGGGCGTCATAATTCCCAAATAATCTAAATCTGATGGTTCAATCTCTTTAAAAAGTTCTATATCTTCATATCCGTTCCTAGCAAAGGCCACTGTATATTCTGGTAAGTCTATCCTTCTCAATAATTCATCAACTGTTCGTGGTCTAGTTTCCCATAACCTTTCACGACTTTTGCACCATTTGGAAGACCTTGACCGCATGGTGTCTCTATCAGAGAGAACTTCAACGTTAGCAAATTTGAAGTTTCCTACTTTGTTGTTTAGAACACCTCGCCAGATACCCGATGCGTTCATATTGATAACTTCTATGATGTCTCCTTTCTGTCAAAAAATAATACATAGTTGAAATGTGCTTGATGTATATATCTAATAAGGAAGTAAACAAAAATGTTATTATTAAGATATCCTACCTTGTATCGCAGGGCATCTTTCTCATAAATATTGGGCACGTAATCGACGAGTGCTCGAGCTCGGCACAGCATTTGCGGCACCAGTAAGCTCCGCCCGGCTGGACTTAATTCTATGTTTTCTTCTGCCGAGAGAGATGAGTGATTACTACCGGCGCGAACCAATGCTTGTGTGCCTGTACATAAATATTTTTAGACTTAGAAATCTCAATTTGTTGCTTAGCCTATGCCCAACGATTTAAAATTTAGCAATACCTGTAGAAACATCTCGTATGACTGTGAATAGGTAGGATTATGTTAATTCCAGGATACCGTTATTAATAGGAGTAGGAATAATTTAAATAACTAATAGTAGTATTTACAAGAATATAATTGTAAGTAACACGTGGGATGTTATAATACACAGAAAGGAAAGACGAACATATTTACAAACAACGTTTATATTAACACAGACAAATAACTCAATAAATCCACTCACTACTGCCTGATCCGCTGGGAAGACTTTCAAAAGAACTATTAGAACATGGAAACGCTTGATCACCACTTGTTCGTCTATCACTTCCTTCTGGACCTCTTTCTTGTCTTAATCTTGAAATTTTTCTTTGGACATCTTGTCTTAGACCGCGAACTTTTCCTGCTAAATTGGATACTCCTTCACATTCCTCAGCTGACTGAAACCGATGAACAAAAACTGTTAATCGGGCAAAGGATATGAAAATTAAAAATAAATTATTGTAAAAAGCTATTTTATTACAACATAGTCAATAAAAAACCACATAAAATTATAGCAACAAATAACATAAATTACCTTATGTACTGTGGCTATATGTTGTGAATCAGTTTCGCTCTCCTGGTCTTCGTAATCTGAAGAAGCAGGTGATAATGGATCGGCACCTATCCGATATCCTGACATTTGTCGGTAACCTCTTCTAGAATCCCGTTCAGATCTGTTAGATTCAAGTGAAATGCCCGATAGTCTTGACCCTATTGATTGAATATCAGACGCAGCATAATCCCCGCTTTCCCGATCTCTCGCAGTTCGTAAGGGAATTACAGTGGTTGGGTATGGACCGCTTTGCGGAATAATTAAACCTCTCCTAGGTGCTCTCGCTAAACTTATATCACCAGCGCTTCTCAGGGAAATGACGCCTTCACCTCTAGGCTCGTTGCGTAGATTCAATGTGAAGCAGACACGCCCATTTTGAAAGGTCGCAGCAGGTGCTCCGCCACCCATAAGAAAGTCTTCTGGATCGCTTTCATACGGAGGTTCATCATACCAGTGTCCTCTTCCAGTCAGTCCTCTCGCTTCGTCGTCGTACATATACGTATCGTCTGTAAACGATTCCTCTGTTAGACTTCAGCGCAGTATATTCCAATAGTGCAAATAAAAAGGTATGTGCTAACAAAATTGCCAAACAAATTTACCCTTAAATACCTTTCCATTGGCGATTTCACTGACAACACTGCAGATAAAGCTGTGTACGAACATCGTAAAGCCGTGCGTGGTTTATGCAAAATATCAGTTTAATCAACATGCATTGAGCACTTTTTCGCAAAACAATCTGATGAATGGATGAAATCAATGTTGATGCTTTTAAAAATAATAATAAAAAAAAAAAAACAGTAAACAACTTTATGGCTTTTGATGATGGACATTTTTATATCGACGATATGATTGCAATAAGAATAATTTGATTTATGAAAAATACACATCGAAAGCATACCGTATGATTTACGAACGAAAAATATTTAAAATAAATTCTGCCCATAGTGTGAATTTATTAAAGAAACATACCATCGTGCAAGTAAAATTGAGTATAATCAATGATATTTTAATTATTTTATATTACTTAAAATATTATGTATGAGTATATTTATGTATTAAAATATCATTGACAAACATGCGAATTAAAACCAGTTTCATTTATTTTTACACCATTAATATTATTAATATACTATTCAGTACTCAATTATTCGTTTTGTATATTAAATGCGGCAATGAATATTAAACGAATTTAATCATATCTATATATTCAATATAAAATTATAGCAAATTCCTGTTTGAAACTAATATTTCAAACAATCTCAGACTTGTAGAAACTCTATAATTTTACTGTAATAGAAATTAAAATAAACGGTAAGGATGTAATTTGTTGAGATGAAATAAGATACCTACTTATTCTGTATTATGAGAAATTGAAGATAAGATAGATATTCCAAGATAATTATTATTTACACAGAATGCTAATGACAAGGCTGCGAAATCCTTTTATGCGGGTGCCTAATACGGTTTTAAATTATATTGTTTATAATTTATCTAACTTAAATTTCTAAGAATAAAATGATAAAGCACATATTATTCCGTAGTAGTACCTTAGTTCTGTATTATTTAGAAAATAGTGCATATGTACTCATATTTTTATTTTTGAACTGAAATATTTGTCTTGGATCTTGAGATTTGTATTTGTCAGCATTACATACTAATGAAAAGCACAGCAAAACCAAAATTTTCAATTCAACATCAAATACCAAAAGCGACTAAGACAACCAAAGCATGAAAATCAAAGTATTGAATTTTGAAAACAATCTGAATGATCTTTGATTTTCTTTATGAATCTTTTGCTTAGACTTTTCACCGTGTAACTTTTACCAAAAAATATTTCTTTTTGGAAAAAGTTACGAATAAAAATGAATTGAACATACCTCCGAAGGGGCCTCTGACTCCGTCTCTTCCCATATTCATAAGGCCATGTCTTATATCTCTTAGAATCTGTAACAAAACATTTTTTATTAAATAATATCCTTGACTATTAGAAAAAATATGTCACAAGAATAAAGCTGCAGTTACTGTTAAGTAATTGTTTTTCAAAAGGGGCGTATTAAGATTCCATCAGGGTAGCAACTTGCACGTGACCTCCCTAGTGTTACAGCTATCCATGGGCCACGGTAACCGTTTACCATCAAGTGGAGTGTACTCTTGTCTGCCTTCTTTATGGTATAAGAAAATACTTGTTACATTCTATGGCTAAATGATTAAACTAATTTAAATAAAAATTGCAAGAGGGCTAGTTTGACATTCACAGTCATAGTAACTGTAGAATCGGATTATGACAGAGTTATGGGGATAAATCCAACAGAGAGTATGCCCAAGATGAGGATTAAAAATTAAGAATTTATATTCATCAGATCATAGACAGCACTTGTATGTAACCATAAACTTTTTTTATAAGCATTACTTTCGAAAATCAATTATTATATTCAAGAGTTTTGAATGGATTTGTATAGATATGGTAAAAAAAAATTAAGAATATCAAACAGTCTTTAAAAATGTACATAGATATTTTAATAACTTATTATCATATATAATTATTTCTTATATTATAATTATATCATATATACTCATAAATAATTATTTCTTAATATTTTTTTTCGGGGACTTTAATAGAATGATCTATGCTTAAAGTTGATGTAATTTTATTCCAAAAAAAAAAATACGTATTAAATATTCGCGTTCACGAAAACATTAACTTTAAAGCACGGTTGTGTTCTCTTACGTTAACTTTTATGGTTCTTGAAACAAAACAGAGGCGTAATTTTGTTACGCCTTAATTTCGGGAGTAAGTTAGAATGTACTATAAATACATATTTACGGCCATCATTTAATGAACGGCTCGAATGGAAACTTTCTTTACAAAATATTTTCTTCATGGAATGCGTGAACACGATAATAAATATTCAGTGGGGGCAATAAAACGACCACTTTCTCGTAAGTAGGAAAGTATTGAACATTAACTTAATTTATGCACACTTTGTTTCCGACGCGGCCACGTTACTACACGAAAGGGATTTGCTTGTCGTTTTGTACAAGTAAACGTTATTTTACATTATTAAAGTCTTAGGGAAGACTTATCAGAGTTGTGACTTGCGAGTTAAGTAAACTGAAGCAAACAAATAATATATTTTTTTATTAAATAGCCTGCGTGACCGTCATATATTTATTGACCAGAATAGATATAGTACGTGTGTACAAGGGTAAGATATAAATAAACTTACTTTCATATCTTTAATATTAGTAAGGATGATAATGCGCATTTTGTTACCTTTTAACATCTCAATCAACCATCATGAAAATTTATACATACTATTCGGGATTAAGAAGAACGTGGACTATTATTTATCTCGATTCATCAATACCTGTATCCTGGTCACGTAGACATAATCTTTTTTTTTATACAACTTAGAATGGCAAACAAGCCGACAGCCCACCTTATAGAAAGTGGTAACCGTCGCCTATAGACATGAGCAGTACCATGGACATAAAAGCGTATACTATTTCGCCCCTGATACCCCCCATGCGTTGCCATTCCTGAGGACTCAGGTGTTATTCCTCTGTACCCAGTCAATTCTATATCCCACCCTTCAAACCGAAACACAGCCATGCAAACACAACTGCTTCACGGTTGAAACACGAATGGGACAGAGGTACCCAAGCAATCGACTTTTGTACAGTCTCCCTCTGGTAAATCATTGGTAAAGATTAGTTTTCGATAATTGACATATAATTACGATGCTGCTACTATTTAGCCTGGTCAATAAATTTATTCCGGTCATTCGGACGAAGTTATGTAATCAATTAACAACAAAACTGTAAACCATGTACGAAAGAGAGAGAAAAAAAAAATACAAAAATAAAATAAATCAACAATGATAATTAATTAAACCAGCTTTCCGTATACGTGACAATTGTGTAAAATCGACAACGAACTCTATCGGGCCTAATATTTAATGCCTGGAAACCACAAGAATTCACTAGAACACCAAAGCCATGAACCATTTTTTACAAGTTCTATGTGTAAAATTATTTGAAAGAAGTATTTATGTATAATTAATGTTCGATCTCTCGAGTTCGATTTACATTTAAAAGGGTATCTAGGATTTTTGCATAAATACCTCAATATTTTATAGAGGAGACTTGATTTTAATGAAAAGACTTTATCCAGTGGAATGTTAAATAGATTCTTTTACTTTTATGTTTTACGAGTAATATGATGAAATCGTAATTGAAAAACTTGCCCTACGGCGTTGATCGAACCCGAGTCCATGAGTTAGGGTTGAACGTTGATACTGCAATGGCCTCGAAGTTGAAAAAGGATATATTTTATTCAATCAAGAATTAAATTATTAAAATTTTAATTACTTATTTATAAATTGAAGTCTGACTTAATTTATTGATATAGTAGTTTTAAAGCAAATAATACGCTATTCATTTTAAATTTAAACCGATTAATATGAATGGACGACGTGACAAATAACAGATACGTTACGGTTAAAATACCTGTATTTATTTCGCAGTAGCATGTTTCAAATGTAGTAAGTGTGGTTACGATTAACAATAATTGTCCATATAATAATACTGTTAAAATAATGATAAAATTAAAATGAGACTAATTTGTAATCCTATCGATTGAAAAAGTAATCAACAAAATCAGTTAAAAATTAATAAAAGAGACCTTTTGGATGATTGGGAACAATACAGAACAATGATTTAAGAAATTAAAAGAAAGTTTCTGTTTTGAATTGGCTTGCCGGATAATTAATTGTACGCGAGACCTCGTTCTCGCGAAGTGTGTAAGTGCCATTGCGATATATTTGCCACTAACATATAAACAGCAAAAAATAACATGAATTTCTGTGTAATTTTTCTAAATTTCTAGATACATGTAAACCAATATTTTTCTTGTTACAAATATAATACTTTATTTAAATGCTCACATCAAATAGTATTCACTGTTCGTAATTATACTTTATGCAAACAAGAGGTTTGTATTGTGATTTGATATCAGACAGTAAGTCTATTTATTTAAAAACAGTAGCAAAAATAATAGTCACAGATAGACATAACTGACATAACATATACAAACTGTTTATAATTACTCCTCTCCATCCAAAGGTTGCTTGGAAGAGATCGCTCTTAGCAATAAGGTCGCCCATTGTTTTCTCATTGTGATTATTTCTTGTAATTATTTATATTTATAGTAAGTTTACTATTGTAATCTTTTGGAAGAAATAATAAAGAGTATCTATCTATCTATATTTACGATGATTACAGTGATATCTTATTATTTAGGTTGATATTCCGACCAACAATTCTATTTATAGCAACATTAAAATTTCAATGTTCGAACCTTCAAGTACCAGAATCCCATAGTTTTACGAGGGTTGGTATTCGAGGTAGGGGCTTCCGAAGTTTCGTAGGGAAGCGATACAACTGCCTCTAATAGGCTTAGCTCGAGATTAGGGCGCGATTAGCTCGGCTCGGCTCGCGTCCGATGCTCGAGCCAGCCGGGAGATTACAACTTAGTGTGACTCTCACATCAGATTAGTTTCGGCTATGTCGGCTTTATCTGTTGGGCTTTTTCACGTATTCTTTATATACAATGCATATAATTTATTAACAGGTGTACCTATATATTTACATACTAGCGATCTGACCCAGCTTTGCACGAGTAGATATAATTTTTGAAAAATAATACATATAATAAAAATAGTTTCAGCCAATTTACTGCAACTGATCGGTTATTTTATAGCATTTTATATGTGATTCTTTAGATTGATGTAGCATTTTTATTTATGAACCGATTAAAATAAAACAGACACTAAATGTTAAGCGAAGCAAACCGCAATGCATTAGTTGAAATCGCGTTCAAATTGGTTAAACCGTTTCTGAGATTAGTGTGCACACACGTACACACACAGATAGACAAAAATTCTAAAAATCATTATTTTGTGTTCTATTACGTTCATAAAGGCCTTCCCCGTTTTTCTTAGTCATTCCAATAGTTTTTCTTATATATCATCCATGTACAGATAGCGACTGTTTACGATTTTATTATACCTATCTATAAAAAATAAATCTTTATCTGCATTTCAATTGATGAAAAATTTAATAAATCTCTCATGGGAAATTAGTGTGATTGTATAGCATTTATTTTTCTTAAAAAAATCATCATATGGAAATCCAACAATGTTCTCTGCTAATTCCCAAAAACAAATTTTTAAATGCTTATTTAAAAAAATGCTAATAATCGCTAATCATGCAATTCGATTTTTAGTAAACTTTTACCAGAGGTAGACTCTGCATAAAAGCCGTCTCCATGGGTACTTTAGTCCCATTCGTAAAGTTGTTGTGTTTGCAAGGCTGTGTTTCTGTTTGAAGTGTATGATATGACAATGAAATTACAGAGTAGAGAACAACAGTCTTCAATCAATCTTAGTTATCAGGAATGGCAACACATGAAGGGTATTATGGGCAACATGGTATACTCTATTGTGTCTACGATTCTGTTCATGTCAATAGGCGACGGTTGCCACTTTTAGTTAGGTGAGCCGTCAGTTCGTTTGCTATTAAAAGTTACATAAAAAACTGTTACTATAATTTTGAATTTTGATAGTAAAAAAGTTTTTGTTTTAAAAAGTTAAATAAGAAATAATTGCTTTATTTTTGATGGTATATCATGACGCAACATGATTATTAACGTTTGTTTAATAATCATTCAGAAATATTAAAAATTTAAATATAATGCAAATTTTATTAGATTTGGGTATGAATGCTCTCTTTTATACAATATATCATCATATAGAGAATAAAGTTGTTTTCTTTACCAACATCCATCACAATCGTAAATATTTTTTTTCAATTTTAAACTTACCTCTTCTTGTTCTCTCGCTAATTTGTCCTTTTTCTTCATTGCTTCCTGAACTTTTAACTGTAACAAACAGAAATTCTATTTAATAATACTAATATCATTGTAACCCATAAATGCTTCACTAGTGGGACCACTCCACCATAACCACTCTCTTACCGTTAGATGAAGATATTACGATATTGCTGAGTTAACTAGACGGATTAACGTTATGACTCTATTTCGAGTTTTCCTTTATCTTAATCCAATCTTATCTTAGGCTTTTACAATATATTGACACGCCACTATTATTAATAAATAATAAGTCATACAAAATATTAATTCGTATGTTTTTTTGCATATTAATGAAGAAAGTATCAGGTAATATTAAAAAAAAAATCAGTAATTGATGACAATGTCATAACAGGGAAGAATATTCAAAGAATTGGGAATTGTTCTTAGAGAATATAACATAAAAAAGTAAAAGATTCTATCAATAAATACATATAATATGCGTCTTTCTAATGCGTGTGACAACGAAAACGTATCTATCGATAGATTCATTTAGCACTTCACCAATTTATTTTTTATTTATTTATTTATGTATTTATTTTCCTTCGCGGAAAGTAACCACTAGAACAATTAAAAATTCCTGTCTATTTAACACGAGAATCTATTTTAAACATAGAAATTTTCATTTATTATTTTCTACAGAATTCCCTGTGAAGATGGATAGGAATATTTTTATTTTATATCTATAATAAAAAGAAAATAACAAAATGCCCATAAAAACTAAGTGCAATAAAATTTATTATTTAACGGATAAAACATGCTTTCATGCTTTCACTGGCATAATGAACGTGCAATTTGTCTTGATTCAAATAAATAAATACGTGCATGAAGCAGCGTAAGTGCAATAATCTATACGGACCAGTGCAAAAAAGTGCGTGCTATAAAATAAAAATATTAGTAAAAAAATAAAGTGATTTTAATGCTTATAATTCAATTTTTCGCAATAAATTTTTTGATACACCTCCAAATGAGCATGCCGATTAAATTGTAGCCAAAAACATTTGAAAAATTTTGAATTTTGACTATCTGTTACAACTCTGCTGGCAAATAAATAATACAATATATAACATAAGATTTTTTTTCCAAATCTATTAACAATTTATATTATAATATAATAAAAATTACTTATATAATAATTATAAACTACTATCACTAGATATTCTATAATAAACCTGTTATCCTTAAAAGGCAATAATAAATACCTTTTATATTATATACGGAATAAAAGAATGCATATTTTAGTTTTGCATGCTAAAATAAAATACGTATAAAATAAAAATAAACTTATTGCTGGCTACAAAATAATAATATAATTGGTTTATAATAGTAAATTCACCTACATAATATTTGCCATCCAGAGCATAACAGATTTTGGTATTACCCACTATATATTTGACAGATTGATTTCAATTGACATACATAATATTTTAAAAAAAAATCTTTAAATTTAAAAATAGAATATTTTAAATATAAATCAAATAACAAAATGCACTTTCTTAAAAAAAGAACGATATTGTTCCTTTTTTAAAAAAAACCCTACACTGATTCGAAATTAAGTGTATTCATTTTTAATCCTTTTGTTCTGTCAAATACATAGATTAGGTTGACCAACAGAGAGCTCACCCTATGTATAGTTTCTTCAAAGGTGTTAGGTTGGGCGGCACTCATTTGTAAGGAGCGGAGGCGATCATAGTCCCTGGGGTCAACCATGGACCTCAGGGCCGTGTCGGGTCCAGGACCTAGACCCAGGCCACTTTGTAGCACGCTGTCTGGTGTGTCGACCTGAAGGAAATTGTTACTTCTTTATTCTTTTCGATTTATACAAATTATTTTTATACATTTAATGGATCCTTGAAACTGTTACTGTGAATAATTTTAAAAACACTGTAATATGGAAATAAAGACATAAACGCTAAAAATATGTTTTCGTATTTTGTGTTCGAATTTATATTAAAAAATTAAGTGAAATTAAAATAACGATAAAAGTAATTTAGCATTAAATTTCACGATATTTTTACTTAGTTTATATTTTTAGCACTAAAACAAAATTTCATTTTAAGATCTCTCATTTATTACAACAACGTCAAGCGTTACTTTATCGAATCGTGAACTGAACTTAAAATCAACACGATATTGAAGGCAAAAATAAATTTCGATCATTTATCAAAGTAGCGACTAGTCATTTTTCTTATGAAGATAGCCCAAAAGTACCTTTGTACTAACAACTTTTCTAAAAGTCGAAACTTTTTTGCGGATCACCGCAGTAAGCGCAGTATGATAAATTAACGAAAACGTTTTGCAAATTAACCTACCAAATAGTATAATATTGTAAATATACTTATATTGCAAAATACTTAATTAAAATTTTCGTAAACTAAAGAGATAGCTCACTAAATAACATGCTTGGCATCGGCTTGTTCTATTAGAGTTTGACATTTAATTAAATAAATCTTCATTAAATAAATGTTAATTTATAATAAACTTTAAATTATAAACTACATTAATCAAATTTAACACAAATAATAATAAAAGTTTACATACCATGAATTAAGGTTTTCGTTATAAATTTGCGTCTTGCTTTATCCAGTATCAAAATATACCCAACTACCTAACAGTACTTTGATTTGATTGAAATCGAATTCAGGTAAGTCAAATGGAAATACTAAAATCACTTCACTAATTGACATACGTTGCCTATAAACTTTTCATACAAAAAACATTCCATTTATCATGCCCAAGTGAAAAAGCTAAGGATATCTGCATCACAATGAAGCTACGTGGACGATTAATTAATCATAGTATTCACAATGGTTGCCCATTAACTTCGCACTTGATAAGGGCGCGACAATAGCTCGGTCCTATAATGTGACAACCCTACGAGGCTAAATTCAAACGGTGCAAAATTTATTGGCCCGTTATCAAATTCGCACACATTTTCTTTTCGACAATAATATTTCCGAGCGTCCGTTGAACATTATAGTTTTGTTATTGGGAAAACGTTTGGATTAGAGGCAGGAGAAGACTGTACAAAAGTCGTTTGCTTGGATACCTCTGTCCCATTCGTGTTTCTACCGTGAAGCTGTTGTGTTCGCATGGCCGTGTTTCAGTTTGAAGGGTGAGATATGGCACCGAATTTACATGGTACAGATGAATAACACCTTAGTTCTCAGGAATGGCAACGCATGCGGGATAACCATGGGCAAAACAGTGTACTTTGTTATATCCATGATACTGTTCTTGTCTATAGGCGTTGGTTACCACTTTCGATTAGGTGGGGTGCCAGTTTGTTTGCTATTTCTAAGTTGCATAAAAAAAAATAAAAACTATTTGTAAAGGCGTTACCTCTTCTTTTATATTATTAATTAGTTATTACTAATTCTCTATTTATTATTAATATTTTTGGTAATTGTTAATTTATTAAATTGTCTGTATTTTTTGTGTATTTTTTGTGTATATGTTACGTATTTACGTTGTTAGAAATAATTTTGATAAGTCTTTTTGCAAGTACCATTTATGTCTATGATAGTTGTATATCCTCTTATGAGTTAAACTTGTCTATTCTTTAATGTCCTAAACTTAATACAAATACTTTAAGTATAATGTACGTATAAAAGAGGCAAACAAGTAACTAATTTAAAGTTAGACCCTAATAAACACGAAGTTCAGACAATAATAAATCAAACAACAACAATTAAAATACCTGCAGAATGCAAATTCTGAACGCGTACACGTTTCTGTTTCTGTACAAGAAATGTAATCTGTGTCAAAAACATTGTTATGAAAATATTTCCACTGTAAACATGATAAATGAGTCCCGAGGTATAAGTTCAGTAGTTGCTAAACTTTAATATCGGCCACATTTCGCTGGAGTGGATTTATTTTAATCCGTGCACGTGATTTCTCTATGCTATAACTTCGTTTGTTAGTATACAGAACTTTATTAGTACACAAATGAATTTACTGGTGGAAACTTTTGAATATGTAATAAGTAATGTTGGAAGTGTATATGTACTTCATAATCGAATTCTATCCAATGCTGAACATAGACCTCTCCCATAAGAAGGGTTCTGCCAGTGGTTGCCACGTTTGACAGGCAGATTGGCAACCACAGTTAGGCTTTGGATTTTTTAGTTAGATACTTTAAGAGGGACGTTGCTTGTGGTTTTTTTTTAATGGGTGATAATGGAATGGTAACCCTGTCTGCGCTGTCGGGATACGCTGGCGGGACACCAGTGAAGGATGATAGGTGCAGATGAAGCAGGTCAGTTGGCCCATCGTGACGATTTCACGAAGAATTGTTCACGATGGTTTCCAGAGGGAACCACGTGGAGGTCGACCTATTAGGGCATATTGTTAGCAATGGGGCTATCAAACTCCATTGCTAACAATCCCTTCCCTCTCCTCCCTCCGTTGCTTGTGGTTAGGAATATGCAGTTAATAAGGTCACTTTTCTTCCTTTCATCAGCTACATGTTTAAGATGAAGTAACAATTCTTCATACATAGAGTCGTAAGTAGCAAACTAGCTGTATACTTCCTTTATATATAAAAAAAATTTAGATGTATACCTAGAACAATTTTTTGGAAACTAGTATAATTTTTTGCCATATATTGTTCTCTTAACGTCTATTGAAAATTTATTTATTAATGTAAAAAAGGTACTTGCAATTTTTTATCTATGTTAGAGACCTACATCACCACAGTCTGTCGTATAAAATTCGATATTTGGATTTGGAATTTCAATTTAAATAAAAATTCGAATTTCTAACCAGCCAGTATTATAATATAGTAATGTATCTGTTATTATTATATTTTTTTTACTTGATTTCAGGTACTCAATTCTAGAAAAAAAATCTATAACCGCAACAGATCTACAGAAATAACTAATGATATTAAATAGTCATGTTACTAACTGTGAATTGGTCCGCCTATAAACCTTCAAGTTTTACCAAATAGAAACTAGCGCTAAATTCTTTATTGATGCGCTATTATGTATTTACGAGGGCCGTAATGCCAGCGGACGCTAGTACAGTGTCCAACTATAACGTTTTATTGCCAGTATCATAGCTGGCAGGCTGTAATATGCCAATATTGTGTACAACCATCAGCGAGATACTTCACTCCAATATGGTTGATATAATTATTGTTTTCAGTTATATATTGTACAATTCAAAACTTAACTCATTACTGTACACGGAATAAAAGATTTAAGCCTAATATTACTGTACTGGCCAGAAGGCATGATTTTCTTCTGAAATTTCTAACTCTTGTTCTAATTCCGCTTAATTAAAGAACTATCTTAATTGCTTTTTAAATTATTCTGGGTATGAATATGAGTGGTGACAAATGATATTTTTACTCTGTCACTACAATTATTAAATTGATAAATATTTTAATTTGTAAAATTAATGAAAAAATAATATTTTAATTATGTCATAATTCACACCTAAACATATCTTTCAAGTTCAGAATTAAGTTATTTATATGTAAAAACGTAATATATTCGTAAGATAATTTCAAATAAGCATTCTACAAATATGTATTATAAAAAGACAAATATTTCTTTTAAGTAAGCATAAGCTCCATTTTTCAAATATTCTCGAAGGGTTTTATTAGGTCATAAGAACTTATAGCTGAACTAAGTACGGAAAACGTCTATAAGTCTTCGAGCCCTAAAAGTATTTTTTCCTTTCAAGAACAACAGAAAACCACATTAAAAACGATAACGGGCTTCTCTCTGTAAATATAATTAATAAATCCACAACAAAATTGAGTCAATCAATATTAATTGTGCAAATATTTGCGCAAACAAAATAATCCTGTTGACCGAAACATCTTTGCATTGATGCCGCCAGTGAGGCCATACTAATATTTTAAGAAAATTTTTCCTCAATTTATAAATCTTTCAAAACAATGACTCGACTAATGAAGTTTGTTCGAATATTAGCTCGGAGAACTTCATCGAATGATGAGAGAGCAAGGACTATGCAAATTCATTTTCTTTTGTTAATTAATGTTTGTTTTCAAATTTGTTCTTTTTTTCATATTAGAATTTAAAAATAATAATTTCAATTTATTTTTAGTCTAAGATCTTACCGCTGGCATCTGTAGATATGACTTTTTAATGAAACTTGGTTTAAATGAAAGATTTAATAACTTATATTAGATTGTTTAAAAAAAAAACAAACTTATAACAATCCAATATCAAACTCTATGAAGAACAAGAGACTTTACTACAGCAACAATACTGTTTCTAATTTTCCCCAAATCTCTAATAACAACGTGTTATTTATATTAACAATAATCTAAGTACATTAGTTTATATCTAACAAAAAACTTATAACAATCCAATGTCAAACTTTATGAAGAGCAATAGTCGTGTCCGCATCAGATACGGGGCTCATCCCGTCGGAATTAAGTGCTACATTTTTCCACGTCTACCTATTTATTAATCTCCGGACCGGGGGTGGGGGAGTATACGTCACTGCATGCCTGAGAAATGACGCCTGCCAAACTTAAGTCGGTTGAGCTGAGGCGACGCTTGAGTTATGACCATTTGTTGAGCCACGGATAAAGGCCATTAGAGCGCGCGGTATAATCCTTATCGGACATAGATATAAAATAATCTTAGATTCACAAAAGTTACCGCCAAATGTGTCCAAATAAATTATAAGAAAGTAGATAACGTAAAACAGGATACATGTGGAGTTATTCTATTATTACTTATATATTAAGCTAATTTTTATTTTTATACAATTTTGTCTTTTATGTCTATTGCGCGGGCAAAGCGAAATACTAAACTTTATATCTATGCTGGGCATCGTATATATATTTAATATATTTATATATAATATATTTAAGAATATTTCTGCACGTTTGACATCACTGGATTGTTAAAACTAAGTGCACAATTTCTTCGAATATCCTCCACTTAATGGCACTTTCAGTTACCAATTGTGTGTCTCGGGTTTAGCACATCAATGTTATCGGAGAACTTGCACTTAGGATTAATACTGTCAGAAGTTACTTTTTTCTACCATTGGTTCGGGTTTGTCCAGCTCTGATTAGGGGATTGTAGGCGAGTGATAAAAGAGCATCTAGTTTGTCATTTATTTTTGTGGAATTGTGACTTCATCAACTCCGAACCGATTTTGATAAGTATTTTACAATCGATAGTATCATGTATCTGATATATAGAGGTATGAATGTAAAAAGTGAGATTTCACTTCTCTAAAATGAGCTCCAATCGTTTTTTAATAAGATTATAATGAGATCGACACAGAAGTAAATTATATCATTAGCAAAAGAACGATCAAAATCGGTTCAAAGTTTCCAAATCTATCACATAAAACAGACGAATTTAAAACTACCTCATTTTGGAAATTTCTTTCTATTTTAATGAAACAGTACTACTAATACCAAAGTCTGAAGCTGTCTGTGAACGTAGCCGTATGCATATGTAAGAACGCATATGAAGAGAGCGCGGCGCGACGCGTCATACTAATTGCTGTGAGTGCATGTCAAAGGGACCGGCGTCGCGCCGGATCTACATAATGGCGGATGGGGTAGGCGGATGGGGTAAATATATGAAAGGAAAGAGCCCCGTCGAGTTCTGCACACAAAATTCGGTTACCAAATACTTCATGCCGTGAGATGAGAAAAGTCAATGATACTGGCATGATTTTTTTTTGTGTATATCTATGTAAGCGAAATTTTGTTCCACATTGATGGTATTGATACATTACTAATATAATATAAAGATTGTATCTCAAAAAAAAACCGACTTTTAATAGTAACAAAACCGGTTATTTTGATCTAAAAACTAATGAACCGATTTTGATAAAATTTTCTACAGGATTAATCTGTAAATATATTCTTTCAGAAATAAAAGAACTTTCTTAATCTGTTTAGAACTGATGGAGGTATAAGGTAACAAACATAAAAACAACCGAATTAAGAACCTTTTCTTTTTGAAGTCCGTTAAAAATTGTATTGCAACTTATTTGCAAATAAGTTATTAGTATATTAAAAGTTATATTCGAATATATTTATGGTTGTTACTTAACTGTTTAGTACAGTTTATTTTATTAAGTACTGTACTAAGTATTGAAAGAAAAATATATTAGAGGTCTTAATAAAAACAACAGAAGCAAAAACAATGATTTTTTAGAATTTTTGTTTGTCTGTCCGTTTCTTTGTTCCGGCATCACACAACAAGTACTACACAAAATTAAATGAATTTGAAATTGAATGAAAATAATTTTGTTTCATAAGATCTAACTTAAAATCTGGTGTACGTTTTAATTTAATACGCTAACTAGAAATAGCTACCATTAGTAAATAGAAAATAGAATAATAAGTAAATAGAATTTGGAATTACCAAAATTCATCCATATAAAGTAGCGGAAAATAGCTAGTATACAATATCACACACAATTTCATTTGTGACGTGGACAAACTCATACCGATGACAGATGAGATATTTCATAGATACCTTTCATTAAAAATATTTGAATTTGGAACGCGGAATCACTAGTTTGAAGACTTAGATTGAAAGGTAATTTGAAAAAAATCTTACCCTTTGCAACGCTGATGTTTAACCGCGAATACAAGCATGTTTCAGCGAACCCAATAAACAAGATTATTTATTTTTAAACGTTAAAATCAAACTTAATGAGCGAAAGTAGTTTAAAAACTTAGCCTCTAAACTCACACATATAAATGAATAAGAGCAACTAACTTGAAGAACAAAATAACTAAATTGGAGGGTACAACTACCAAGGGTAAATATGGCTGAATTGAAGGGTAAACATACTAAACAACACTGAAGGACAAATATCACTAAACTAAAGAGTAAAATATATTAAATTAAAATGCACGAACCATTATAATGAAGGGTAAAAATCACAAACCAAAGATAACATACAAAATTCTTACCCTTTGCGGCGGTAATATTTGACGGGGACTATGTGTGTGTTTCGGCGAACACGAGCCATGTTTTTCTTTCCTATGGGACTTTAGACCCCGAAGTAGTCTTGAGAATGTGGTCACCTTCTTCTTAGCAGTTCCAAGACAGTTATCTGCAAGAAAGAAGTCTATTTCAATTATAAGGGAACTTAATGTGTTGTATATTAAATTTAACGTAGTAAGTTTCTAGTAAAGAAATATTAAAGAACAAGAAAATCTCTCGTCTTCTCTGATTTTTTTATACAACTTCGAATGGCAAACAAACTGACGGCCCTCCTGATGGAAAGTGGTAACCATCGCCTATAGACATGAGCAGTACCATGGACATAACAGAGTATACTACTGTATTTTACTATATACTGTTTCGCCCATGATACCACCCATGCGTTGTAATTCCTGAGGACTCAGGTGTTATTCCTCTGTACCCAGTAAATTCACGCCATATCCCACCCTTCAAATCGAAACACAGCCATGCAAACACAACTGCTTCACGGTTGAAAGACGAATGGGACAGAGGTACCCAAGCAGTCGACTTTTGTACAAAGTCTCCCTCAATATATAGATATTGAAGCATTATTAATATTACCCATCCCTAAATACTAGACAAATGAACCCAATAACGATATAAAACTCAGACCCAATCAAGGTTACTCCTACGTACAATACAAAATATCAATCAAGCGTGTACACTATGAATGAAATATTACTTTAAGTAGAGAACAAAAAAATAAATGGATACTAAGAAACAATTCTTTATACGACAGACATAACTTTATTACTATTTATAACTTTATATATTACTAGCTGTTGCCAACGACTTTGTCCGCGTTTCCGTTGTTTTTCGTAAAATAAGTAGTCTATATCCTTCCTCACGGTTCAGTGGTTTTGATGTAACAGACACATTTCCCTTCACTGCTCTGCTCCTAGCGTGATGGTAGCGTGATAAAAAGTATACTATAACCTTGAAATCCGTCGAGTAGTTTTTGTTTCTATAACGACATACAGACAGACAGACAGACAAAAATTTTACTGATTGCATTTTTGGCATCAGTATCGATCACTAATCACTCCCTGATAGTTATTTTGGAAATATATTTCATGTACAAAATTGACCTCTTTACAGATTTATTATAAGTATAGATATAGATTTCATCGATTTATACAGGGTGGAAGAACAATGACCCAAACTTAAACAGCTGATTCAGATGAATGGTCTGAATTAGATGTCAGATTATTTTCCACAATTTTAATTATATATACAGCAAAGTATATATAATTAAAAATTCTTAGTTTTGATATTTTACTACAAAATATTATTATGTTTTTATATTATGACATAATATCATAGATTACATGATTTTAAATAAAAAAAAAAACAAACAAACAAAAAAAATTCTAATAAGATTTTTACTGATTTTTAGTTCAGGATAATAGTCTGGATTCACTGTTTTAGTTTTTGCCAACTTGTTCCGTATATCCTGTATATATGTCCTGGACACGCGGATGAAGTCGCGTATAAAAGTTAGTATACTATAAATTACCCATTATACTGGTTACCAATAAAACTTTCTATACAAATATGAATGCCGGATATCTAATACTTTGTTTATTAATATGTATTGAGGTAAAAATGTTCAATGCAATTTTATGGTGTATGATTAATTAAATAGAAAACTATAAACAAGTTAATCAGTCATGTTATTTTACGGAACATGTTAATAAACTGGTTATGGTGTGTATGGATATCGTAAATTTTTAACCGATTTAAAAAAGGAGGTTCTCAATTTAGTTGCAGATATATTTTTTATATTTGTTACGTCATTATTTTTTTATTAGAAAATATTGTAAAATTGGTCTTATAGGAATTTTATTAAAATCGATTTCATAGTAAAATTTTTCATATCAAAATAACTTGTCTCTAAACTAATATTATAAAAGAAAGATTTGATTATCTGTTTGTTTGTCTTTAATCGATACTCTCAAAAACCACTAATTAGGAAAATTCTTTCATCTATATACCTAAATCTTAATTTTAAGATTTATACATGTTAGTGAAATTTTAATTTATGTTTGTCTAGTTCTTTTTGTTTGAACATTGTCAAAATATTATACACCGCTTCCCCCTGACACCGATGGCCCTTTCCACTTTGAGTTTGCTAGAAGATAACTCTTTTAAAGTTAATCTCGCCTTTGTGCATTTATTTACCTCTGTTATATTTCTATATATTATTAGTGTGTAAAATAAAGTATAAATAAATAAAGAAATTTACATTATTAGTGAGTAATTTAGACTATATTTTATTAAAAAAAATGCAGGGTTAGTTAGAAAGATGAATTTAAAAGTTTTTTTTTTAATTATTGCTTATCTATAAATAAATCGTTATTTAAAAATGTCACTTACCACTAGGTGGAAATTCGTAGAAGTACGCCGACCGTGGACTTAAACAACTGTAACAAACAGAGAATTACACAAATGAATAATAATAATTATAAAAAATTACGCTTATAATCTCTAATGGGCTAGACAGAGATTGTTTTTGTCATTAGGTTGAACTAAATTTTCGACATGATCACATTTTGTTGATGATAAATAATATAAAAATAATATATTTATTTATGTCTCCTCACAAACAACTTAAATGTACACATAGGTATTTAGGATAAAATAAAAAAAAATGGAACTCTGCTGTAAGGAGCTGGTGTCTGTAATAGGTTAAAAATAGGATAAAAATAGTATATCATCATCATATCAGTCATTATTTGTCGACTGTTGAACACAGACCTTCCCCATAGATTGTCATAAGGAACGGTCCTGAGCCATCTGGATCCACTGACTCCACTAAGTGAATTTGTAGGGTACAGAGGAATAACATCTGAGTCCTCAGGAATAGCAATGCATGGGAGGAATCATGGGCGAAACAGTATACTCTGTTATGTCTATAGTACTGCTTATGTCTATAGGCGACGGTTACCACTTTCCATCAGGTGGGCCATCAGCTTGTTTGCCATTCTAAGTTGCATAAAAAAAGTCTATGAGTGAGGCCCATGTTCAGCAGTGGACAGATAATGGCGAGATGATGATGATGATAAATTTAGGTAATCACTCATTAAAGAAAAATAAGTAGATATTTTTATTAATAATAATAATAATAATAATTTTTATTTAAGAAAGATACAGTTGCATAAGGTACAATTTACAATGTTTACAATTTATATTCAACGAGAAAATATCTGCATTACCATCAGTCCCCAAACTAGGCCAGACCTGTATCTTGGGGACTATGAGTGCGATTACCTATTTAGTACACTTTATTTACAAAATAAATAAGGAAAACTATGTGAAAAGGTGAGTGCGTGTGTGTGTGTGTGTGTTTTATTGCAACTTAGCGATATTTGCATGCATACATACATAACTGTCAAACTTGTCTTCTATTAGGGTAGGCAGAAACAATAGAACGTCAAATACTTAGATTATTTAAATTTTATTCGAAAAATGTACAAATAAGTAAAGTCAGAGGCTATAGCTATTTCAATATACTTTCCTTACAATTGACCACAGATAAAATAGCAATAAATGTAATTTTCCAATAATATGTATTTGTTTCAAATAAGTAATTCAATTAAATATTACCATTCGATGTTCAATTGAAACGAATTAATTAGAATTATTTGTGTTCAATAATATAATGTTTACTTTGATGACCGTGTAACATTACACAAAACAAATGGAAAATAAATCCTATTAATATAGCAAATCATGTATTGATAATGTTACATACATTTAAATGATACATCAGTTTTTAATTACAGATTACCACTATTTATTATATAGTTCAATTTAATATTTTGGATCAGTCATAGCGTATTTCTGTGTAAGTCTTAGCATAGACCACCTCTTTCTTTCCCGTAGGTGTCGTAAGAGGCGACTAAGGGAGCTTATGGTGTAGGGATGGGCAGCAACGTCTCTTTTAAAATATCAAAACGGAAGCTGTGGTTGCCAATACGCCTGCCAAGCGTGGCAACTGCTGGCATAACCCACTTTATGGGGGGAGGTTATGTTCAGCAGTGGATAGTTAACTATTTACTATTAAATCATGTTTTATGTCGACTTCTACCCGATCTTATTTTAAATCAATGGAAAGCAACAACCAAATACCATAGAAAAGTTAAGGAGTAATTAATTATCTGTCCTGAAGGTCTACCATGAAACGAAATTCCGAATTTTCGGATTCCATTTCGTGTTTTCGATCGTACTGAAATCGGCCAAGTAAATGGAGCTTAATGTTTTATTCGTCATAAATCCTTACATAAAAGTTCAAAGAAACGATGTAATAACATTTTTAAAATTTTTAAATAGTAAGTTATTTAATTTTGATATCAAATCTGTGTATTGTTCGGCCTCGAAATTTCAGAAAATACCTCATGGTAGGCCCTCTAGTATGGATACGTGATGCGCATGTATGTATTTAAATATGTATATAAGAAAGTTATTAAGTATTAATGGGGATGGCTATAAGGATAGAGGAAAACCTAAAACAGATACAGCAGGACTGTGTGAAAGATGATATGGCCAGTAAGGGAGTGAAATACGGAATTGCCTGCAGATAAAGATAAAAAAAAAAGAAAAACATATTACGCTGACCCAAAATATATAATGGGGATAAATGTAGGAAGATGATGAATATGTATAATCATATGATTATATCCTACCCTACAAACCGAAATACAGACAAAATTCAAGCGCAGTTGCTTGACGATCGAAACATGTGTAGGACAGAGTTACCCAAGCACACGATTTTACTGCACAGTGTCTCGTAATGATTATGTTTCGCGACATAATAGGAGATTTTATTTTTATCGACATCTAATTAGATTTATATCTGTCCATCTGTCAGTGGAAAACGCGTGAAAGGTAAAAACAATTGGAGTGCGGGAATTCGGTGGTAAATGGGAAATTAATCGCCGTTCACATTAACAATACTACTAATGATTGTCGGTCGGTCGCGTTTAATACGAAGATAAATTCGTAAAGGGTTCATTGCGTCGAGCTACGCTTAATGAAGTCTTAATCATTCAATGGTTTTAGTCCTATTAATATAATTAAATTGTAACTAGACAATGCTTGTAGTATAGAATGAAAGTCACTGACAGAACCAGAAGGATAAGCAAGCTGATGTGGCAATAAGCTGGTCATATAGCTCGAAGAACCGACAACTAATGGGGAAGAAAGGTTCTTGAGTGGCATTGAAGAGGTGGGCCATTCTCTGCCGATACCACACGGTATTAGGTTATGATATGACAGTAAAATTACATAATGGTGACATGATAACGCATGAGCAATGACAACGCATGATAGTACAATGGACATCATATATCATGCATAGACAGTCATATATCAGCAAATATATCAGCAACAAAGTATATTCTATAATATCTATGGTGCTGGTCATGTCTGTACGCTACAGTAATCACTTTCTATAAGGTGAGCCAATTTGTTAGGCGTTCTAAGTTCCACAAAAAAATTTCCTCCTGGTGCCTTGACGACTTAACTAAAAATCACAAATTAAGCCATTTGTCGTTATACCAGAAGATAGAAGTGTCACATTTATAATAATAGTATGAATGTACCTGGATTCCTTTTATGACGTAGGTGTTCACTGGAAAAGGATTTCACGAAATTTGGACGAGATTAGTTCCTATGGGAATTTTGTGAAATGGATGTAACATGAAAATAACATACCGAAATTTAGCAGTAACATGATTGATAGTATTTGTGAAGTTGAACAAGTATCCCAGAGGAAGCTGGGTCGATATATTATACTTAACTCTACCGGCTGCTTACCGCGTTTTTGCTCGCTCGAATTAGGAACCTGGTTATTTCAAAATATAATCTATTCATGTTAATTTCATTCAAATACGTGCAGCTATTACAAATGTCTGTATAATATATTATCTAAATATCCACAAATGTCAAAATTTTCATACAATTCAAGCAGATTTCTAATTATTTCTAAAAAATATTAAATACATTATATTATATCTCAATAAATAAACAATATTTAAATAGATACTACTGGCATTTTCATTACCCGTTCTATTTAGTATTCGACTAGGTAAATTCCTTTTCAAACAAACCTCGTTGGCACAAAATTGCCTATAAAATAGGCCTACAAACCGGTCCTAATTTGAACTAACATCGGGGAGTCGAAAGCAGATACCTACACGTAACGAAGCATTGCGCATTTATGCAGCACTTAGATAAATCCCTGCGCTTAAACGACATACGTATCTCGCTATTCTTGCCATATCTCGCCGCGGCTTATTAGCTAGATTCGTATGGATGCAGTGTTAATCGATTAATGAGTTTGTCGAACTTAATTTTGACCTACTCGGTGACGATGTTACCATTGCATATTCTAAATACTTTTATTATGCCAACAATGCGCATTTATCCAGCATTTGGATAAATCTCCGTGCTTAAATGACATACGTATCTCACTACTCTTCCTTGGATATAGTGTTGATTGAGTAATGAGTTTGTCGAATTTAATGTAATTGTCGAAATTAATGTAACTTCTAGTACTAAATATTTAATGGTGACATTTATATCATTGTGAATTTTAAGCAATTCGCAATATTGCCGTGCTGGTTGGTGTCTTAGTATGGACTGTTTTAACGAGTTTTCCTACTTCTATTCTTTACTATTTCTTCCTCGCTTACAACGACCTAGTGTAAAAATAATATTGTATTGTATTCTTATTTATTTATCCCACGGATAATTTGTATTAACATTATGAAGTCAAAAGCTACAAGTAACGATATACTGCGCATTTATGCAGCACTTACTTGTAGGATAAATCCACGCGGTGTATACGAGTATCGCTATTCTTGTTGTATCTCGCAGTCGCAGCATGTTAGCTAGATTCGTATGGATGCAATTCTAATCGATTATTTAATTTGTCAGTATTTAATTTTATATTCGATTTTAAGTAGTGATGACGTAACCACTGCAAATTATGTGCATGAGTACCTTCTTTATATGAGAGAAGGATATTATGTTTTTTTTTATACATATAAGAATGGCAAACAAGCTGACGGCCCACCTAATGGAAAGTGATAACCGTCGCCTATAGACATGAGCAGTACCATGGACATAATAGAGTATACTGTTTCACCCATGATACCTCCCATACGTTGCCATTCCTGAGGACTCAGATGTTATTCCTCTGTACCCTGTAAATTCAAGCCATATCCCACCATTCAAACCATAACACAGCCATGCAAACACAACTGCTTTATGGTTGAAACACGAATAGGACAGAGGTACCCAAGCAAATGACTTTAGCGCAAAATCTCCCTTTGGTGTCGTACCGTCCTATTGACTATATAGCTTAATATAGACTTTTATTACGCAAACAATGCGCATTTATTCCGCATTTAGATAAATC